GCCAAATTCTCCTCCTCCTCCCTGAGCGCGCGTGCACGCCCTCTGCCAGACTTGCCATGGTGGGGGTGGATGAGGAGGGATGGGTGGGGGGGACAGGTAGGGAGTGAGGAGATGGTTGGATGGATGGTTGGATGGATGGATGGATGATGGATGGATGATGGATGGATAAGTGAGTGGAAGAAAGCTTGGATGGAAGGCGGGACGGTGAGGGAGTGAAAAGATGGTTGGTTGGTTGGTTAGAGGGAGGGAAGGATGATGGATGGAAGGCTAAGCGGCTGGACGGATGGGTGGCTTTTGCCCTGCCATGTCCCCCCCTCGCCCGATCCCCATCCCTCCGCCCTCCCCCAACCTGTGGAGACGAAGATGTTGGCAATGATGACCAGCCCTGCCGAGAGGAGGGACACCACGAGCGTCAGCCGCCGGCCGATGTAGCTCAGTGAGACGGTCACCAGCACTTTGGCCGGGAAGTCGACGGCGCCGAAAATCACCTGGATGAGGTAAATGCTGACCCCAAAGTTTTGCAGGTCCATGGCCAGCCCGTAGTAGGAGAAGCTGATGGAGAACCTGGAGTGGGGCAGAGAGGGGAGAGGTGGGAAACTCAGCACACGGGGGCTCTGTGCTGGCCCTGCATGGGGTGGCCTCTCCTGGTTGCTCTGGAGTGTCTCCATCCCATGAGACACTGCAGAGGACAGTGCTGCTGGGTCATAGAGGGATGGCTGGATTCTCTGTCTTTCCGTCCCTCCATCCATCCATCCACAAACCTACCCATCTATCCATCCATCCATCCACCTACACGTCTATACATCCATCCATCCATCTAGCCACGTAGCCATCTATCCATCTATCCATCCATCCATCCATCCATCCATCTACTCATGCATCCACCTACCCATCCATTCACCCACCTACCCATCCATCCATCTACCTACCCATCCACCCATCCATCCACCCACCTACCCATCTATCCATCCATCCAGCCAACCATGTATCCATCAACTCATCCATCCAGCCACAAAGCCACTCATCCTCTCACCTCTCCATCCATCCCCATCCACCTCTCCATCCCTCCCTCCTTCCCTCCCGTCCACCAGGGGTTTTCCTGGCTCTGCCCCACTCCCTCCTGGCCCCACCAGACGATGGAGAGGCAGAAGAAGATGCGCCGGATGGCCGGGGTCCGGACCAGGTCGGAGATGGTGTAGGATGACTTCATGGTGGCCAACTCGTTCTGCATGTTGGACTTGAGGATCTGCCAGCAGATGGGAGAGGTTGGTGAGTGGAAAACTGAGACCATCCTGGCCTGGCGGTCCCCCTCCCCAGGGTCACCATACCTCTGCCGTGATCTTCTCGCCTTCCTCCTTCCTCTTGTTTATCCTGGCCACCCTCTGCAGGACCTTCACGGCCTTCTCGGCCTTCCCTGACAGCACCAGCCAGCGGGCGGACTCAGCCAGCCACCTGCAGCCAGCAAGGGGGAAACTGAGGCACAGAGGTTTGGCGGGGGTGGTGTGAGGTGGGACAAGCACCTCACATGCCCCACTGCCCCCTGGGAGAGGGTCCTGCTCCACCCTCACCCCTTCCCAAGGGACCCAGGTGTCCGGGGTGCCCCTACCAGGAGTAGAGGAGGAAGAAGAAGAAGGGCAGGGAGACGGAGAGCTGCAGCCAGCGCCAGTGGGGGACGGCGTAGGCAACACCGGCCAGCAGGATCTGGCCCAGGGTGTAGGCGAAGCCGACGATGGCCACGGTGATGGCACGGTAGGGCGTGGGGATCCACTCCACCACTGCAAGGAAGCACAGCAGCACCCATGGGTGACTTGATTTCTGGGACCCTGCTGGCACTGCCGAGTCTGGACACATCCCCATGGCATGCCCTCGTCCATGGTCATGGGGTTGTCCCCATCCATGGCCATTGGGATGCCACCATCCATGCCCGTGGGGTTGTCCCCATCCATGGCCATTAGGACGTCCCTGTCCATGGCCATCATGATAGCTTCATCCATGGTCATGGTGTTGTCCCCATCCACGACCACTGGGACATCCCCATCCATGGCCATCGCGATGTTCCCCCATCCACGTCCACTGGGCCACCCCCACCGGCCCCCGGGCCGCCCCGGTCACCGTGGCCGGCCTCACCCAGGCAGGCGATGCTGAGGCCAAAGCCGGAGAGGGCCATGCCACTGGCAAAGCGGAAGACGCAGTAGGCCGCGTAGTTGGGGGCGAAGGCCGCGCACGTGCCCGTCACCCCCAGCTGCAGGTAGGACCACATCAGCATGGCCTTGCGCCCGAACCTGCAATGAGGAGGCCGCTGGGAGGCACTGGGGGGGGGGGGCCGCCACTGGGAGGTGGCCTGCCCAACATCCCAACGGGGAAACTGAGGCACGGTGGAGCCTGGCTGCTCTTACCTGTCTGAGAGGCTGGCCAGGGCCAGGGCGCCCACCAGGGCCCCGGCCATGTAGATGGACTGGGCCATCTGCCGCAGCTGCCGGTAGCTGCAGACCAGGTCCCACTGCAGGGAGGGAGGGGGATGGGCTGAGGACGGCAGTGGGGACAGGATCGGGGGTGTCCAGGCAGCCCCCTCCGTCCACCCGGCCATGTCTCCATCCATCCGTCCACCTCCATTCTGCAGTTTCTCGCCATCCCTCCGTCCTGCAGCCACCTGCTCCTCCGTCCTTTCCTCTCTTCCTCCATCGTTGTCCGCCTTCCCTCCCTCCACGCACCCTCTCGCTCCTCACCCACACCGTCACCTCGCCGCCTCCGTCCAACTCGGCCTCCATCTCTCTGCAGCTCTTTCTCTTTGTCCCTCCGTCTCTGTGCAGCCCTATCTCCAGCCGTCCATCCCTCCACCCCATACAGCTCCAACCCTCCATTTCAGTCTCTCCAGCTCCATCCCTCCAGCATCCTGCCATCTCTGTCCCTCCCCGTAAAGCTCCATCTCTCCAGCCCTCCATCGCCCTCCCTCCATCTCTCCATCTCCAGCTCTCCACCTCCATCCTTCTATCCCCATACAGCTCCATCTGGCCATCTCCATCTCTCCATCCCCCAACAGTTCCATCCATCTCCATCCCTCCATCCCCATACAGCTCCATCTCCAGTCTTCCATCTCCATCCCTCCATCCCCATCCAGCTCCATCTCCATCCATCCACCTCCATTCCTCCATCTTAATCTCACCCTCTCCATCTTTCCACCCACCTACAGCTCCATCTCCATCCATCCATCTTCATCCCTCCATCTCTATTCTTCTATCTCCATCTCCACCTCCATTCCTCCATCTTTCCATCTCCACCCTTCCACCTCTCCATCCCTCCACCTCCATCCCTGCATTCCTCCATCTCCATCCCTCCACCTCCATCCCTCCACCTCCTCCCGCCCCTGTCCCCACCTCGGTGACGAT